TTTACAAACCTGTACACCGCCAGCTAAGGGATCCATTGGCAACTACACTTCAATAATACCACAATAGCTATTTGTTTCTACAGACGCATTTTGGTGCGACATGGCGAAGTTACCAGCAACCCCCTAGCGCTCAGTAGACATAGGCATAGCTAAGGGTATTGACTTTAACTGATTAAGGGTAGTTTAATACGAGTGGATTTGGTGGTTGGACGCTCACTGGACGCTGGCCGCAACTTAAAGTAGGTTAATGGCTCGAGACGTACTGCTATCGCCGCTACAGGAACTCTGGCAGCTGGGCGTAACCAGCTATATCTGATTGTGCAGTCCTGGGCCGCAGTTTGGTAACCACCAAAAACCCTATGCGATGCGAGCTGTCTATTGATGCCTGAGATAAGCTTTAATGTTGATGAAAAACATCGGCGCGCGGATGAAACACGGATGCTAGTCAAACAGAGTTGAAATAGCAGCCTGGACGAAGCACTAATCACGGCTATTGTTAAGAGCTTCTTGTTAACACAGAGACGAGTTGAAAATTACACGCATTTACGCGCCACTTAATAACCCGGATTCGAGTAATGCTAGGAACCCTACATTCTACGTGCACGATACTCTATGAAGGAGCCAACTTTCAACATCCATTGTCTAAAGCAGCGTCAAGTGTAACCCCGAGTCCTTTCTTAATCGGGGTTAGACTTGACGTAATTACGGAATTACGATACTAATTGGAGCAATTGTAAACACCGCTTTTACCGGAACTACATGTATAAATAGCCTGTGAAATACATGACTATCTCTTCACTATTTGCGGTTCCTTTTAAAGCCATACCCACTCCAACTTCTCTATTGCTCTCTTTCTCATTATAAGACGAAACCGTAATAATAAAATAGAAACAAATATAACGAATAAAGCAAAATAGACAGTGAATTATCTCAACTAGATTTTCATAAACCTATATTGTTCGCTAACTGTTATCTATATTGTACTAGAAAATTTTGAGAAAAAGCGTGTCAACGTATTGAGGTCGCCCGACTCTGATATGATTTCTCGCATCACATGCGAGTTGGGTGCGCCTGATCTTTGATAGCTGTCGCTGATTCCTTGAGGCCACGAGTGACACGAAGGGACTGTTTAAGTCAATGCGCAATTTCTACTGTTCTGGGAGACTTCTCGACATTGCTAGAACTGCAAAAGATTGAATAGACGGTCAACTATCGACGCGTACCTGGCACGCGGAATTCTCCGAACCCACTGCTGATAGTGGAAAGGAATCGTCCATATATACCCTCAGTTGCAGCTTCGTTTGTTTTCAGAAGCTTCGCACCGTTGTTTATTAGCTCATCAGTGAGGTTAATAGCACCCAATCTACCACACTCACGAATCTTGAAATCAACTCGTCAGGGTTGTTTTTGAACTAACATCAATAACTAATTCGTTTGATCAGAGTTAGCCACAGTCTGAGCGAAATCGACTGGCTCATTATTGGCATGTCAGATGTCACATACAGTCTAGTGATCACTAACTGGCGATGGGGATAATGAGTTTCAATAATGAGGGTTCCGTTTTAACAATGTTTGCCACCTGAATTTAGTGCTATGGGTTCGAATCTAATAAAGACTGCGCATAGATACACCTTGCTTAGTTCTAAAAACCAGTCATCTGCAGCAATGCCTGAGGGCAGTATTGGACTTAAAACTTAAGGTATCATTCTAACGGAAGTGCTGAGCTAATCTTATAACTGAAGCACAAGAGACACGGAAGTGAACGAACTGTATAACGAAAAAAAGGTATACAGGTGTATCTTTTCGTCCGACACTCGACCAGGCTAAGCAAATTCTCTGCCGCATCGGTGTCTTTCATTAAGCGCTCGAATGCCAAATAAAAGTTAATATAGGGAATAACGCCTTCGCATAGCGTGTAACTACTTGGGCACGGACCAGGGCGACTTCCCATAAATCTTTAAACCCATTTTACTATAATCGATAATTTAAATTGGTCTAAATGCCTTTTTAGAAAAATGGAGTCGATGAAAGTTGTAAGAATGCCTAATACTGATTTCCCTCTATAATATTTAGTAATAAGATTTGTCTTAGTAATTGTTCTTTTAATTTTTTTAGGCCTCTTTCAGATTGACCAACAAATATAAGGATCAGACACAGGCCGAGATAAAAGGCGAAATGTGACATGCACACTACCTTACTTCGTAGCTAAATAAGAAAGACGTAGACCCTGATTCCTCGAAGGGAAATAAGCCCATACCAGGTGCCAAACGAAACTCGATCCGTTAAACAGCCTGTACGCTGCGTCGCGTCTTGATAACGTGCTTCAGCTCAACTATATAGTTTGTAGAAAGTAGGTTGAATATATCATTAGCTCGTTATTATTCTGCTAATGTTGTATACCTTTACAAAATTAACCCAAATTAATACAAATAGCACTTATGAATAACCTGGATGTATAAATATACATAGTAACAATGCCTTTTGTCGGTTTATGGGCGAATCGATTATCGATCTGGGTCATCCTTACATGATATAGAACGATACTGACTTTGGAATATATTCATCAGAGACCTTTTTCAAAAAAAGGTTTTACTCAACTTGCTACAATATGGCGATATAGTCTTGGTTCCTTAACATCCAACGATACTATGGATGAGTTTCTAGTGCACAAGTGAACTTAGTATTTACAACACACGTTTAGTAAGTGCCTTTCAGGTAACTTTCGGTAATATGTAAATGATGCGACTCGCATTCTATGTTCGAGCATGTACGTACCATATTGCGAAGCATGCACCAAAACTACTCTAAAAAGACTAAAATCCTTTATTGTAATGATATTAAAACCTATGTTAATGTTACTGTACATTGCAAATCATATGTATTCCTCGCGCTATTCTTTTTTTACAACATTAGGTCATCTCTAAGAAACGTGTAAAGGGTAATACTCGTTTATTACTATTCTCTGGTAGAGCCGAAGTAAACTTGCAGCGCTTTGAAGGTCCCATCTTCTCTGCTTTTTCCCTAGGGCACGTGCTCAATTGCTTGCAGATGACGTAACTAAGTTTGCGTAAGCAAAGTAAGACGAACATCAACAAACCATCGGCCCGGTTGGGCCGATTCAAATTACAGCCTACCATCATATTATTACACATTCGCCTCAACTTCATTAGTTAGGGTCTATTTGAGCTAAACTTAAGACTACATTGTTCTACACTGCAGGACGTAACTTCTTTTATTGTGACACCCTGGATGCAGGCTTTTTCTCACAGAGCAGCTACGCTCCTTCTTTATTATTAAAACAATTGCTGGCACCACAACTAGGGTAGGTAGCGCAAGGCATTTTGAGGGCCCTTGCACCAGATTCCCCTCATTCCTACCTCCTTCCAACTTCTCTAACCATCAGGTACGAATAGATATCAGGTCGTCTCACTCAGTTCTGCTATTCCTGCCCTTCTAGATAAACTTACCGGCAGGCGCGGAATCGACACCCGCTAGCGTCATATAGCGTACAAGCAGGTGCAGCGACGTCGCCGAGGAGAAAGACCTCTGCAGCGTTCTTCCAGCATCTGCAACTTCTGTTTGACCGCTTTCCGCTTTGCGGTAGGTGCTGGTTAAACTAACCTGGCCAGAGAAAGACGAAAGCTACGACCATTGAGATACGGCCCTTCACAGGTCAATTAGTATCTTTATCCTTATCCTATAAAGCATGTCGCCCACATAGAACTAGTCAGTAAAAAATCGTACCAAAGACGTCTCCAGTAAATGGCTGCAGCAGTAGTAGTAACGGTAAGGTAGGAGATTAAATGAAAGAAACAAAGAATGACAGGAAATTAGCACAGCGGTATCAGTGTATCAGCGCGGCCATAATATCTTGTGACATCAACAAATTGCTTGAATCTAAACTCAATAATGTGGACGACAATAAACATGTTGCTATTGTGTAGTGCGTATGGATTTATTCTATGCAAAAACCTATGATTAATTCATTCTTATCCAATGAAGAAAAGTCTGAAGAGGAACTAAAAGTCTGAAGAGGAACTTTGCTAAGTACAAACATAATTATTCGAGTATCGGGTAAGATGCTTTGACCTATATATTCAGTGTTCCTAATTCGTTTCCATGTATATAGATTCACCCTATATACTGTAGCAATCATCTATCGGTTGAGTAGCCAGCATACAATATACACGTGTTTGATCATCCAATTCGTTGAAACCATATCGGCTTATTAACTGTTCGTACTTCCTGGATTTATATGTTATTGTAACATTTATTCCTGCGCCTGCTAATTGCGTTAACAACTTTTAAGCATAGTGTTCTAAGGAAAACGTTTGCATTGCGATTCGTTTCACACCATACACCAGAAAATCTCAAGCTCCCAAACCCAGGCTAAATTTGCTCCATGAAGCTTAATAACGAGTGTTGTACAAACATGAAAGCTAATGGGTAACAGCAGAGTTTAACAATCTTTTTAGCTTTCTTGTATAAATGTCAATTTATATCCTACATTTATAATGAATATTAAGGTCAACAATCACTTATCCTTTTGCGGTTGAAAAGCTGGTACATTCTCTAATTTAAATAACGAATAATAATAATAAGCACTTTTTAATAATTTTAAAGCATGCAAGTACATGTAACACTGCAAACATCATTCACCAGAGCCGTTGATCTTTAAAATTAAATATTAGTTTTTTTTAAAGATTGTTAAGAGTGTTAAGACTTGTTATTTGTCCTACCGGTCTACTGGTCTATATATATATATATATATATATATATATCAGCGCACCGTAAACTAAAACCATCTAACTCTATCACATGATAAATGAAGTCTAGCTTTCAAATACTCGTCATAGAAAGACACTTCTGCTACAATAGAAATCTTCAGCAGTGAAGAGCCCGCTTGCTTACCCAAAAACAAATCGAATAGTAAGAGAGCTGCTCGTTTAGTCTAGCCCCTCGACATTGTATTAATATGTATGTTTAACTGCCCAAAAATCTTGAAGGTCTAACAAAATACGCTGACTTTATTCTCCGGAAGGTAGAAACCTTTTGTATCGAACTTAGCATTAACGACAGGTCAACAAATTACTCCGCTGATTATTGTAGCTTACTATATTTGTCGAACTACTCACGCAAAATATGTGTATGAAGTGTATACATTTTTTTACGAAAGCTAACATATATTCTTAGTTAGAATAGATAGAATAGAAAATAATTAGAATACCATATATGCATATTCAAAAATGCGACGCAGCTATATTAAGATAAATGCAAATCCTATGCATTAACCATTAGATGCCGAACACATCCGAATCCCGTTACTGCTCGTCGCCACAGTTTTATTCTATATATAATACTTTTGGTTCAGGTTCAGAAAATCGTCATTGATTGCTCGAAAATGTTGGCAAGGTCACTTTCTACGTGGCTACGCGGAGCCAGCCTCGTTACACGCTCCTGCAACACAGAAAAATTGCGTACACAACAATACATGGGTTAAAGTACCTGAAACTTTAAAATACGTGGGGCCGTTTAACAACCGTTCCATTCAAGAAATTATAAATCATTGGAGTGATGATATATGAAACGGATGCAGTATATGACATAAGCAATAAAAAAAGAATAGAGCGTTTGTTCCACAACAAAGATTTGACCCAGCGTCCTTCAAGCTTGAAACGATTTAGTAGTAATAATGTAATAAATAATAAATAAGTAAAATAAGTATAATAAATAATAGTATAGTTACGCAGTAAACAAAAGAAAAATTTAGAAAGAGTTAATTTTCTGTGTTAAACCTAACAGGTATTTCATTCTTAGTAAGTGTTTTACGTCCAATAATGCTGCGCTTACTTAATATCGGACATTCGGTACGAGACAGAGCCGCCCACCTTTTACCCATCTTTTAACACTCTTAACATAGTACTATTTTTCTCGTCCATAGCATCAAATATCGGTCAGGACATTCACTACACTGTTTCTATAATTGAGTGATTTTATCAATTAGCAAACGAACGCACCTGAGGTAAAGTCTTTTCAACAAGACTATCGATATCGGATTTATCATAACCTAATGCGGACAATCCGTTTTCAATCTTCATATCGCTCATATAATCGCGCAGGACGTCGGCCAGAACGGGGCCAGCGTCGGCTTGTTTCAGTCCTCGAGTATCTCGACCTCCTACAAAGACACATGTAAGTTCTCCATGTAGATAAAAAATCACATATGACTAGGAAGGACGACGATTAGTGAATTTTCAACTAAATTTCATTTTTCAAATAGAGCGAACAAAAATATAGTCCCCTTTTGTATGCACAATGCAAGTGACATGATCGCCGACAAAATGTATGAATTGTATCATTAATATTGAAAAATAAATTAATGCTGGTCGAATAGCAGTTTACAGCGTGATAACGATATACACAGCGAGCCTAATTCGAGGTCAAATTATACCTGTCCGAATGTCACCTATTATTATTAATATTATTGTTATTGGTGTTCGCTACACACCGAGAAGTTCAATCGCCAGCAGATGTCTATCGGGGCAAGCAGGTGCCGTGAACTTGAAAACAGCGGGCGACGTCATAACAACAGCCAATCCGTGCGGAATGATCGGCTTTTCCGAGGACTCGTAATCTTTAGCAACAAAGTTTTTCACTAGTCCCGATATCGGGTACGACATCCCGTGACATAAATGAACGCCTGCATTTCCGAAACCAATTCCCGCGTAACAACTTGCCAAGTGCATCGCCGACCGTGCCTCGTAATCTTCAGGATTGAATACGTTCCTAAAACCATGAAAAAACGTACATATACAAGATGTTGAAAACCAGACTATAAAAACTCCATTGAACTTTTGTCGTATAGGACGCCAATTTGCTGAATGCGTGTATTATGCGCAGAGCCTATGGAAAATCGAAATTAATTACGGTAATCCGAATCAGATATACGCTTCTTGCTAAACAGACTGTTTCGCTTCGATATAACAGGCCTAATTCCTAATTCTTGAGGTTATTATTTAATGAATCATAGTGGTTTTGCGTACGACCATAAATACTGCGCACCTTTTGAAATACTTCCGTAATATTTCGAAGACATGCTTGGCCCAAACATCGCTGATCGGATTGCTGCCCTGGTAGGCCGGCCGTTTGATAGGGTCGTCTGGGCAAGGCTGTCGTTCATTGAAAGGAATGGCCGTAAACGATTCGAGGGCATGGCACAGGACATCAAAGCCAGAGAAGGCAGCGACACGCTCGGGCATATGCTTTAGGTGCAACGGATCTACGAGGGCTAGGGTGGGCTTAAGTGCCCTACTCGCTATTCCTGTCTTCGATTTTAGAGGCTCGTAGTCGAATATAGCAACCCCCGTAGTTTCACTACCCGTTCCCGCAGTCGTGGGTACTGTAAACAAAGTCAACTTATCCCTACTGCCCAGTACAAAATTATGCAAAAAAAACCAAACCAATGAACCACAGACAAGACATGGTAATGATAAATCAATTAAGTGTGTCAAATCAACGTGTTTGCGATGAAGTTCGAATAGAGAACTTCTAGAAGCACAAAAACAGCTGATTGCTATTATGTTCTGTTAGTGTTTCGAAAGGCGAGAACGACCTTTTGAAATACCACTTACTGGCAATTAGCGGCTTAAGAGCGTTTCTTATAGGAAAACCCTTTCCTATCGGAATGTTCACAAAGTCAAGGAATTCTGCTTCCGGATTACACGTGTACAAGTTAGCTGCCTTTGTTGTATCGATCACCGAGCCACCACCCACTGCTACGAATGAGTCGAAGCCACCAGTCCGCGCAAAGTTTATCGCTTTTTGGAAGCTTGTCAAAAATAAAAAAATAAACACATGCTTTTAATATGTTTATGATTATAATACTTTTATCTACACTCGTGTTAAGTCAATAATTGGCCGCGAAGCTGCATACAATACTATCGTTTTAGTCACGGCTTTGTCAGTCTGGTTACTACGTCCAACTACGCGGCGAATAAATATTTGGGTTTGCGGACAACACATTGTTGCATAACACGTTTACACACGATTAAACTCTATCATTGTACCGTGTCCTTATCATAGCTTAGCATTTGTTCGTGTATTTACATAACACTTAGATGTGAAGCAGTGTAAACTACCGTGAGATACACGAACATATGTTACATCCAACATACCAATAGAAAAAGATTATCTGTCCTACAATAGATCAGTCCCCATTTACACTCAGAAACAGAATTCAAGCAATTCATCAAGTATGCACTGTATCGAATGAGCATACGCATTGTTGTCATCTAGGTAAAATATGGCCTACCTATTGTATGTTGGCTCCACTGAGACATCGGAGAAAAGTTCGTAGACGACTTTGTTAGCGTGCAGCGAATCGAGAACGGCCCGCACGGGAGGAAGCTTCAACAGATTTTTATCTGTTACGACGCACACTTTCTTCGCGTTCATATTATTCAAGTCCTGAGCGCCATAATCACATAGGTATTTAAATTAGCTGTTTTTTTTTTTTCTAGAATTTCGATCTTTAATTAATCTGGACAAAACAAATCAGCCATGGTTTAGCAGATCGTTTTCTAAAAGGCCTGGGCAGTTTTAAATACCTACTGTGCTACGACACCACGTCGAAGTGCTTCCTTAACACATACTTCTACAAAAACACGACAAGTCGTATATCTAAAGCTACCCTATATCCTAAGAGATTCCATATTGAGCCTACATCGAGATATATTATACGGCCTTCAAGGGCGCCTTCTGAAGATATGACCCTTTGCTTCCATGAACATCTATCGTAAATACTACAGCACAAATCTAATTTAAGTTCCGCAGGATGCGTTCAAAGCAGCGGACATCTTGGTTCTGCATTTTCTTTACTATTTCTTCCGCTATTTTTAGTGCAGCTTCAACCTGAGTGATTTTTATCTAATAGATGATACCTGTATACCTTACCGTGCGCCGGACAACTTTACTGTTAGTTTTCAAGGTGACTTCTCTATGGTGCGGTAACACAAGCTGCTGATTACGTAGGTTAACGTCAGGTTTTTGCAGCGCTTCTCATAATTAATGGGACGAATTACGGTTTCCTTATAATGATTCTGTCAGAGCTCAATTGACTAAATTAATTGATCCTGTCCAATTTACAATGATCACTATAAGCAATGGTGGTCTCCTATTAAGGTTAATATCACTAGTTCACCTGTCCAACCTCCCGGGTAACCCCAGGCCCATAGCGAATATTGGAGCAGGCCATCTCGAACGCGTAGTCCTTTGATTGGGAACATGATCCTGTCGAGCTCAAAAGGGCATTTCCAATGTGGTGATGGCCAGGACAGCGGCGTCTGTAAAGGCAGAAGTCATTAATAAAGATCCACAAACGAAAAATAACTAGAACTCCCACGTTGCGATAGTTACTGTGAGCTTAGATTAATACGACACCTCAATAATAGGTAGTGAGTCTACATCGCTAGAAAACTGGACTACTGAAAATCTGGATAGTCGACTTCAATCTAATACACCATCACCACTTTATAGTTCTTAATTGCGTGATTGAGAATATTGTTAAACTGGGATGGTGTTTTTCTTTTTTTCGTTTTGTTTTATTTTTTTGACTCTTGTAGAAAAACCAGCTATTTGTTTATAAAATTGGCATATCAATATTCTTTATTCATGTATGTATCACGATCTTTTGTTTCGTCTCGCACTAGTCCTACCTAAATGAAAACATGCCCAAGACAAATATACTTCTGCTGTTTCTTCTTGAGATAAATTCTTAGTAAAATTTCGGTACATTTTTGTGTGTTTCATGTATAAATATGTACATACACAATTGGCAGTTGTGGGGCATCCGCATACACATGTCCTTCGCATCAGTATTATATATTTTATATGCATAGTGAATTAACTACACGCGACCAGCAACATATAACAAAAGATCATATTTGGCCTAGGCTAAACATCGATGTCGTTTTCCAAGAAATCCATCGTTACGTCACGTTGCTCATGGAATTAGTTCGTAAGATTTGCCAATGTGTCCGAGTTTGTCGGCTGTTTAGATGTCAAGTAGTTGATAGATTGTGCGCGGACTAAATCGGTACCACTTTTCCCTATAACGTAACAGAGTGCATTGGAAGATTGCCCATCTCGACCGCTTGCACTTTTTCATTTACGGCGATAATAGATATTTTTCCAGATCTTGTTGTTCTACTATTTCACACCACGAGTATGATAACAACTTTGTGGCAGTCTAGATCCCCTCTAGGGGACTTGTAGAAACTGCCGTTCTTTCTATTTTTCAAAATATGACTAATCTATTCAACGGAAAATTACGCCGTCTAAGACAGGCTTCTTTGCAGGAACCGTTTGGTCATTGTAGACCCAAATTAAAAATTCATGGAAAATTACTACTTGGAACAACTGTCATTATGTTTCCATAACATAGCGGTTCCCTATCTAATGACTTAAATCACTTGCAATTCTCCCTAGCCTACACTAATTCGTCTGCTTATAACGAATTCGGTTACTGTGCATATTTGTCCTGTTGGGTAGACTATGTTAGAACAGTGAAGTATTGCCATGTGTTCCAACGATAAAACGATGGATCTTCGACGAGTTTCTTATAACACTTGCAATAAAAGATTCTCCTCGGAAATTCATTTTTCAGTTTTGCTTTCAGACTCATAAATTCAATGTCATGGTAGCCCGTAAAAATGACACTTCCACGTCTAACAAGTGCTTTCACACAGCTCCGATAATAGACAAAGCCGTATCATGTATACTGGCTCTATCTAACATTTCTTTGTTTTCTCTAATCCAATCTTTGCTAAATTTTCGAAGATTCGAGTACGTTATTTACATCAAATGTGTGCTGTTCCTTTTTGTATATAACTAAATAATTATGGTTGTAAAAATGTTCTAGAGAAACTTCGCTATTATGACGTATTCATAGGGCAAGCAATCTCAAGCATATCCTTTTTGGTAAGACGCTGTCCAGGCCTCTTCAAGCTCAGAATCGGCATAGCCGTGAACCGCGATCATATCGCGTAGATCATCTGCCCGCCACATTTGAAAAAAGTCACTATGTTTCGGCTGTATGCGCGCCTTCCGTGCGCAGATACCCACAAAGATGTCATCGAACACAAAATGTTTGCTGAATTTTGACGCACTGTAGATTTTCTGTGCAGCGTCTTGATTGAACAGCATTGCACCGGCTGTAATGTAAGCCGAATATCTGGAGTACGGGTAATCCCTGAGTGAGACGAACCATTTCGAGAACCGGTGTCGTATGGGCGCCGAGTTCGGGAACAACATTCCGACGAATAGAGCTCCGCCAGATTCTGCCTCATAGATGTTAATGTAGCGTAAAAGATTCTTTATAGAAAGATAGTAATCATCATCGATCAAGAGAAAATACTGCGTATTCCTACAGTATTGCGTGGCCCACCGGAGTGAAGTCATTGTCTTCAGTGTGTTATTGTAATAATTGTCAACGAAGTCCGCCTGAATGATGTCTTGATGTTTTTCGTTCTCTACGATCAGATCACTGTCCTCGGCACCTCGACCGATGACAAAGAATGTTTTCGTGTCAACATTACTAAACCTCCTCCTGCCCCATGTTCGTCGTATAACATTCCGTCGACTCCGATGGGGCAAAGCACTTTTTACGAAGATTGCCAGACGCAGACGCTGTTTACAGCCTGTGTTACTGTGGATTTGATAGTCAAGCGAATCGTAAACGTGATTCACTGGCAGAAGGTCATCAAATTGGTCTCCCCGAAGGGGGTAGTCATAGCCTGGATCAAGCGAGTGTTCCTCACCGAGTTTGAGAAAAACACCTAATTGATCAAGCGTAAGGACAGAGAGTAGGAAGAGGGCCGCTATACAAAGCAGTCGACGGAACTGTCGCGGAGTCAATTTTGGATGCCCGAAAGGGTGGCCTGATCGATCGTAACCCATAACGCACTGTGACTAATGAATGAGAGAACAACACAAGTTAACAAGATACGGACTTAAGCACAGACATGCAGGGTTGACGGGGGGGAGGGGGTCGACTCGACAAAAACACGACTTACGGCCTACGCGAAAATGCTTAACGATTGACACTCCTGTTTCTATCCATTCCTTTCGTCGGACATTTCACTCTGCAACAGATTTTTTTGCCTTTTGTATTTTTTGTGTTTCACTCTGCAACAGATTTTTCTGCCTTTTGCTTTTTTGTGTTAGCTATTGAGTCATTGCTTACGAGTATGTCCGCCGCCAGCCAAAGAGTCTACCTGTGTCGCAATTTGAACGCCTAACGCATTTTGGTTGCTGTTGCACGTCACCAGCAACTCTTTGACTCTCAGCGGACACAGGCGCTTAACCTGAAGCAGGAAAGTATTGACACTGATTTCTCGAGAGTAAATGACTGAGTAGCTTGCTCTGAATGAATTGAGGGGTATATCCACTTACTGCACGCTAGCCATCACTCGCAGTAGGTCAATGGCTCGAGACATCTTGCCGTTGTTACTGGAGGCACTGCGACAACTGGGCACAACGGACGATACGTGATTATGTTACGAGACTTTATACCTGCCAAAAGCCGTATCCTCCAAACCTTCCGTCGACGAGTATACGAATGAGTCCTGGTGTTGAGGTAGAATATCAACGAGAGCACGAAGCACGGTTGCTTGACAGTCCACAGTAACTCGGGCGCGAGAACTGCGATAACAGCCTTCGTGTTATGCTGACGACAGCGACTGTTGAAAATTTCGTAAAAGTACACAGGCAGCCAGCCAGCTAACCCCTGTGCATAAAAACAAGCTTACTTGGCAACCTGGGCGGTAGTAATACCATCAAAGTCTTTTACGATTGCGCTTTCAACTAAAATCCTCCAGCGCCGCTGCCGCCACCAACGGACAAAATACTGTAAAACAACAGCACTTTGTCTGCTGATAATAATAGTAATGGGCGGATATGATTACACGCGCACCTGCCGCGCCGTCTGAGATTCAGTTCTTTTGCGTCGTTGTTGTTTCGCAAAAACTGATAACGCCGCCTCCGTCTTTGCTTTCACTCTCATCCGTTTGTCGTCTCGAGTATTTTTTTCAGTGTCGTCAATAAAAGCGGAGAAAATTACAGTAACCCGTCATGTTTGTGGCGTCGGCCGTCCGTGCGAGTTCCTTCGTTTGACCGCCAAGCCTCTATTGGTTCGTTTTGTGTTTGTAGGTAGCTGCTGCTACCCACTTACGGTAGCTAAGCGACAATAGCTACCAGGATTGCGGCCTCCATACACACCACCGTAGCGGTATTTTTCTAAACGGCAGCAGCGAAGACGCTCGATGTTCTCGCTTGCGCCCTTCTTCAGTTATGGCCAGCTCATTAATGTTGCCATCGAACATCATGTACGATCTGTTGAAAATGCTTATTAGATGCTACTTATACATTAATTAAATATGTCTGTTGTTGTTGTGGTTGTTCTACAGCTCATCTCACTGCGCTGCTGCTACTGTTTCCGAAATACTCCCTTGGACCACCGCGATAAACGACTAGGTAAACATAGCAGACGTCACAAATGCAAAGTTGCATGTTTCGGATGACGCCGCTTCATCAGCGGTTCCAACTAGCGGTTGTATCGTCTGCTAAGCTGTTGTAAGCGAGGAGGATGAGGGAGAGAAGGAAAGGCGGGAAATTCTGATTTGGCCTCGATGTCGATCTCTCAATTTGAGACCGACCCTCGCCACACGATTCCTCCTCACCAGTATGTTCTGCTGGACGATCGTGGTGGCGCCAAGCCAGCTCGATCCACCGCTATTAATACTATTACGACTAGCAGATGTAGGTGAGAGAGTTCCAGCTAACCGATGTAATCGTAGCGCTTGCGCCAGTAAAAGACAAATGTAAAAGTCCTATAGACGAGTCCTCCTGCGTTTGTTGCGTTGTCTTGTCTTGTCTTGTTTAGCTGGATCTGCTGTATGACTAGGCAAGGTCGCTGTTGGAAACAACCTTTCAATTTCTAACTAAGTATTACACACCGCCTATTGAGGGACAGTTAGTGATCAACTGGTGGGTATAATAGTGACATATAAGGGAAAACGAAATTGATTTGGTTAACTGTTGGTTGTAAACGCTAGTACGTGTGGCATCGGAGAAAATACTGGCGTGTATGTGTATTGTGTTACGGTAGCCAAATCGCAGAGAGAAACGTTTAATAAGTTACTAAAGTAAAAAGAAATGCCGGAAAGTGCTGAAAAACGACGCGTGCTTTTTGTTTGCCTTGGCAATATCTGTCGGTCACCTATCGCTGAGGCGGTGTTCAACCACATCTGCAGACAAAGGGGTTAGTACAGAGGTAAATGTTTGGATATGCTGTTTATGTTATCTGTCTATTCTACAGTATTGCTAAAAGCCTGTGTCCATCGATTTGTGTGTTTATCAGACCTAAAAAGACCTTTGCAAATGAAGACTCGCACGGAAGTTGAAGCCGATTAGGCGGACACTCTCCAGGCGGACACTCTCCCTAGAGGAAAGGCGTTTTTCTCAAATCAATGGCAATGTTTTTCTAATTTGCCATGTTGGAAAATAACGCCCACTAGCGTTTACAAATATCAAGTCAGTGACTAGCATCGTCCACGCTAATATATCATGAAATACACGAATATTTCTGTGGAAATTGTCTGTGTGAGCAAGTGCGCCTAACTTGTCTTGCATAAATGTGTTGAACGTGTTTGGCATGACAACTGTGTTTAGGCTACATTATGGGAAAAAACCAGTAGGCAAATAGCTGGCTGCTATTCGACGTTACCTCTATGACAGATACATTTTACGTTTTATCTCTACACAGTTAAAAAAAAGTATTTAATAGCAAAACACGGGCTGGACGAAGTCACAGAGAATGAGCGACCGAGCGGACTCTACTACTAAACTAAACAAGAATTATCTAATTTAAATATATAGAGAAATTGCAACAGTCTATTGCCTGTCTCTTTATATAACTCTATATAAAAGATCTATATGTCAACAATCTGCCACTTCATATATAATATAAAGATCTATATAACAGTAATCTGCCGGTCACTGGGTTGTTTAAAAGCTATATTTCTTCATTAGCATTCGGTATGAATTTAACAAGAGAAAATAAAAAAAAAAAGCCGCCGCAGTAGCTGAACGCATGAGCCCTAGAGTTGAAAGTTTTTTTGGAATTGAAATAGGTTGCTCGCAGCTCCAGGTTTGCGTTGATATTTTTATGTCATCTCGTGAAGCCGCCTTTGCAAATATATAAACAACTGTTGTTATTATCAGGCAAAAAACCGATTTCTCTTTACATGACGGCAAGTGTCGTCTTTGATGATTATCTTTATTTAACATAACCACACTTGGCCGCGGTCACAGCTTATTGTCGGGTCCTGAACTACTAAGTAGTCATTTTTAGGATGTTTCTTCTTTAATTAGCAACGAACTTTTCTATAAAGCAAAATGTTTAACATTGAGTTGGCTGGATTTGTCAGAAGCCGCCTGAGAGTAACGTACATTTTCGACTTCGGGCATAAAGATCTTTTTCAATGGGATTCTGTTGTGGAAGATTGGATAGCCGATTTTTGTTCAAGCAGTACAAAACTACACATTAAAATAATTTTACTGTGTTATTCTGGAAAACACTAGCTTTTTTTCAATACTAAGAATGGCAGATGAACACATTTCTGCTCCGAAACAAGCAGCTAAGCAGTGTCTGCATTTGAGTTCTCCACTCTGTAGATGCCACCGAATTAATACGTCGCCTAAAAGTAAGTGCTGAACAGATTTACGAACCACCGAAGACCGCCCAATCGCCTCCTCCCTCATTGTCAAAAGTGCTGGCTTCTGAAAAATGGTATTTGGAAAAATCACTACTATTAATCCTATGGTGTTTGAGTTGTTGCTACTATTGGATAGAATAGTAATTAGTGTAATAGTCATTCTTAAGCAGAATCGGCAAATACTGGAGCAGATTGTACTTGCTTTTCAGAGTTGACAAATATATTGTCGCTGAACACATGAACACACGAAATTATAATTTTTTGTCACACGAAATGTACATACAAAGGAAATAAGAGAGCCTAGTGGATTTTCCTTATGATATCTTGGTGTACTTTATGCTTAGACAGGATTGCTTTTCCATAGTTGTAAAATGAGCCGAAATGAGCCGATAGACGAAGTTCACTTTACTGATGTGGGGTCCGTGTTACCGCCTAAATTAGAAATTAGGATCCCGTTATGTGATTCCTTACTATGTGGTAACTTAACAAATTAGGTAAACCTTCGGTTCGTACCCCGTACTCACCTTTGAAGGCAGCATTGTTGGCCATTCGTCCTGATAGAACCGCACCCTTCTGGAACCTATCCAAATCCTCCGGCTTGGATACGTTCCTAGGTTCTAACTAAACGGTTGACATGTCTCTACAGGTCATGGCCGCCTTCATTAGATATCCGTTCATGATAGACCTGCTAGCGCACGCTTTGAACTACTTTAATGGCATTTCCATTTTCATCTTTAGAAGCTATTACTGAAATTTGGTACCATCCACGAGAATCGATGCATGAGACTTCATGTAACGCCTGCTTTCGAGTGTTAGTGATGAGCAATTATACATATTAGTCCAAAAGCTTTAATCTAAATTAGTAGATCTAAATTAGTAGACAAAGTAGTAGTAAGTAGACAAACATTTCATGGACATGTCTAATGCAGGGTCTACCTTATAGAAAAGCCTATGAATCTAAGCACAGGATGGGACCATAATAAACCCTTACCGGGTTAATTGAGCGCTTACTGTTTCTCGCAATGACTATAGCTCCCGCGAATCGTAAAAAGGTCATGTTTAACAACCCCAATTAACAATGTAATCATGGTGGTAATAATGAAGCGCCCCTTGCGACCTGCCAGAATTAAAAAATAAATTAACAAGCATGATTTGCAGAAACAGCGAAGTCAGCCCCGTGGTAGTGTTAGCGTCTGCACAGTTAACTGTACGATTTTCGGACACGCGAAATCCAATAGATTTTTTATGTTTAAGAAATGCTTGTCCCAATTCGTTCTTCACTGAAATCGATCGCTATAATGTCCGAATAGTACATTACGTTCTGAGAAGCGCGAAGATGGCAAGCAAGAATGGCGCTAGACGAAATCGGCGGTCACTTCAATCGCGTGGACACGAAAAGTCACAAGAGAAAGAATTTTTAGATGTAAAACTTGGTGAAAGTGGTTATGCCCTATTCTTGATTGCTGCAGGGATGAAGGATCTTGCGCCAAATGGTTATTGGAGCACGTTTTTAGGTTTTTGCTGAACGCACAAAATTCGTAGTGAGGTTCCGTGGAAACGACTGTTTTTAAGTTCCCGTTATGTATACGGTCATGTCATGTAACATGTCATGTAACAATACTTTTAGGGGAAATAATGGGAATAGGACTTCTAAAAATAATCAGCAACAAAGGCTATTTGATTGTCTCCACTCAGAATACCATGCAGTCTCAATTTTTGTTGATAAATTTGCAACGATGCTTACATTCGCAGTAAATAGATGGACTGTGCTTGAATTTAGCAAAACTTTTGATTATGCAGTTAGATAGCGGTATAACGGTGGTATGCTTAGATGAGAACTGAGGACTCTTTAGACGGGACTTGGACATGGGTCATCGCGCTAATGGCTCAACTAACCCATATACGCCTTCATTTCGATGAAAAAGATAGCGTGCTTTTAGAAGTTTCTACGAGCCATTTCATTAGGCAGGCAACAAACAAATACAATTTTGTTAGTAATTCACATTCATTCTAAACTCATCTAGCCCACTCGGCAGAACAGCTAATGCTTATTGCAGCTCGCAAGTTTATTGCTTCAGATCGTTCCCAAATCAAAATTAACGTATTTTTGCACAGTTGTCGATGATCGATACTATATTGAATCTAGTTATGTTGCTTTAGCTATTTGCGTTCTTTTTAGTATTTTGAATAATTTATGCTCTTAGCAGCGACAATATTGCGGATCTTGTCAAGGTCTGAGGCTGAAGTCAAATGTTGAAGTTTTCTCTGTCCGCTTGACCGCTCATGCTGCGCCTCTTCTCTTCCGACGCAGTAAAAATACCGAGCCACAACCCACTCACACGAGCGCCACGCTACACTCCTGAAGGCCGCGATACACCGCTGAAGGCCTATCGTAGCATTACTGTTTCCGCGGCTAAGTGGGCACCTTAATGCAACTTCAGGCACAGACGACCATTCATGTGCTCCACTTTGGTTAACACACACAGACGAGATCAACCCCACGGAGTTTCCGCTGTTTGGCCAGCCGTTCAGCTAGCGACAAACGAAGCTGACTTGAATATGTAACTATAGCAGGATATACTGAGGTACAACACGCATCGTTTGTAGTTGTTATGCATGGCGCCATTTCCTGTCGGTTACCTGTTACGGCAAGCTACAGGCGAAGAGGAAAACATGAGCAGACATTGAGCTCAGAAAAAATGAGTACAAAGAGCACTTCCTTTCTTCTAGTAATATGGGAGTTACATGGTGATCTAGGTTCGAAACCAAGCGCAGACGTACGTGGCGGAAAGGATTGGCCGTCCGGTGGTTTCTCGGATGGCAATACTAGTAGCAGTAACGGCACTGACCAGCAAAGCTCTTGGAACGAAAATACTCTGGAAGCTGGGCAAAATCACCACTGTGTATAGGTATATATGATAAAATACGCATTGAACTGGTCCGCATTGGCTTCCACTACTTCATGGAAGCCCTGGCGCTGCTGCAGCGCTCATAATGCTCATAGACAAACAAAATAGTATTAGCCCTCTTAGCCAAATAGGTTTTTGTATCGCTCATATAGGAGTGAATTTAGTATTGTGTCGGTGCCTCGACGGCACAGCGACGATAACGACGGCACACGTAAGTGTTACTCCAACCAGTCGACCCCGCTTTTGACTCCCTTATCTGACAGGTGTGGAATCTACGTTAACATCGCAGTGGCGTCGATTTCTACAGATGATAATCATTGACGGTAGCCGCGAAACAAAGGTCAGCCGTTTCCGTTGACATTGACATATTGAGTGCAAAGCTGGCAGCGAAATCTGATTGAGGAAGTGTTTGCACTCATTATTCTTCATGCGCCGTCCCAACGAAAAAGATCAAAAAATTTCTAATATGAACACCAGCAAATATAAATTAATGTTTATTCTGGCCAGTAACGTCTCGTCTTATTCTTAGCGATTTCAAGTGTATATTTTAATGCAGAAGAAAATTTTTGCGCAACGAAGCTCTTTGATTTAGCCTAAATAAACATGTTATTTGGTGATGCCAGTAGCCTTTGCCG